TGTTAGGTTAGATTTGTCCGCCCATTTTGGCCGGATATTATTATCCCAACTTTGATGTTCCAATTTTGTCCAAAAAAGGGGCACCAAAATGTCTGATATATCCCTCAATGTCACCAAAATTACATAAATAGGATTTATTTAAGCAAGAAATGTGTCCGAAAATTGCAAAAATCTGCTCGAACTCGAAATCTAAAATCCTCTTGCCCTAGATCTACCTCATCCGTAATGCTCCATCTCCTTCTTCGTTTTAGTGTTTTTGATTTATTTTTCCGAGAGTGTTGTAAAACGTCCTCCCGTAATCTTGCTTCGGCTTGGTCTTGGTCGACGGATCTGTAATCTACTCCACTCCTAATTCACTCTTCCAGGTCATGAATCTGCATATTTGTTCTTCCATTAACTAGTAATTTGTTTCCGATTGTTGCGTTACAAATTAATGCATTGTATTTTTTTTTGTTAAATATTGGTTAAATATGTACGAATTGTATATTAGGTTTTTTTTTTTTTTTAATTATGACACTTTTAAGGCTTCGTTTTTCTTGCTTAATGCCCTGATAATCGCCTTGGATGAGTGATTTTTGAAGTGTATATTAGGGCATTGATGGGTGAAAGAGAGGCCCGTTTTATTTCTTGATGATTTTGTGTTTGGTTTGCTCACTTGGAAGAAAAAGTTTAAGTTCCTTGTTGGGCATTATAGGATTAGGTGCTAATTTTATACACTTAACAATTATTAACCTTCTGTACACAATATTAAGTTCGTGGATGATTGCTAATTTTTAAGTTGTTTGTTGGGCATTATATGTTTACTAAGCGTTGATATGTTTAAAGACGGTTGATTTAGTATTGGCCGGTTAAATATTTTAAAGTGACTTGAGAAAATGTTTACAGTAGAAGGTATATTTTTCCGAACCCTAGAAATTGTTGGACAAGTGTGTAGGTTTAATATTGACGAAGTGTATATTAAGGCATTGATGGGTGGAAGAGAGGCTTGGTTTTTTGCTTAATGTTAGAAGTCTTAAAGGAGTTGGTCAAAGTACAAGTGTAATCACATCATAAACCATGCATTAACCCCATGAATATGCAGTTATGCATGACAGTTACATTCAGGACGTGAGTCATGTTTGTGAGGTGTTGTAGTGACATGTGTATGTCAGTTATGTATTAAGTAGTATAAATGTACAAGTGTATCATGAACCTAAATGCAAGTAATGAATGTGAAATTTTCCTTCTGCAGTTTCCATCTTATAACAATGAAGTTTTCTTCTATTTCTTTATGTTATTCTTCATGTTTCTGTAAGGATTCTATTATGGTATCAGAGACATAGAATCCTTCAAGTTTTTAATTATCATCCTTTATTAATTCCATGGCTGAGAAAATACAAAACACAACTTCCAGTGAGGATCAAACGATCCAACTACAAGGACAGCTCATTAGCATCAAACTTTCAGACAATAACTTCTTACTATGGGAACAACAAGTTTTAGCAGCCATACGAGGTTATGGACTTGAGGGATATATCAGTGGAGAGATCTCAGCACCAGAAAGATTTGTAACTGCTCCTGGTTCATCAACTCCAGAAATCAGTCCATCATATCTGAGATGGATGAAACAAGATCAGCTTGTTATGTCTTGGATATTGTCTTCACTAAATGAAAGCATATTGGTGACAACTGTTGGTCTAACCACAGCCAAAGCTGTTTGGGACTGCCTCAGATCCAACTTTGCCAGTCATAACAGAGCAAAGATCATGCAATTAAAATTGCAACTTCAGTCACTCAAGAAAGGTAATTCTCAGATCAAGGAATATTTCAACAAAGTGAAATCAATTTGTGACATGCTTGGATCTATTGGTGAGAAAATCAGTGAAAATGACCAAGTAATGTATTTGTTGAATGGGTTAGGATCTGAATATAATGCCATCATTGTGTCACTAACAACCAGAATTGAAAATCTGAGCATTATGGAGGTATATGCTATGCTTCTCAGTTTTGAAAATAGACTTGAAGTCTTAGAGAATAATAATGATGAATTAAGTGGAAACTTCAGTGTCAATGTTGCTACTCAGTTTGGTAACAACATGAGAAGAGGAAGAGGTCGAGGACCATTTAATTTCCAAGCCAGTAGAGGAAGAAGTACAATTCAGAGAGGTGGAGGAACCTCTAGAGGTAGAGGTGGTAGGTTTGGCTTTAGCAGGCAAAGGTGCCAAATTTGTG